ATTACTCATAGCAATTAGTATTTTTTTTAATAAATGAAAATAAAATTATGACCCCGCCTGTGTTATCGATATACACTGACGAGGTACCAATAAGGGAGGACAGGTGAGGATAAAGTAGGTCGATTGGTCCATTGTGATGAATTCAACAATTAACCACGATAGTTTTGAGGGGGATCCGCTTGAAGGTTAACCTGATTGGGTATATTGCTAGCAATGGCAGTTAGACGCCATTACTAACAATCTCTTCCCCCCAACAATTAGAACCAGGTACATATTGGTACGTAAATAAGGATAAGAAAGAACTGTATAAATTTGTATACGTAATATATATTCCAGACCGTGGATTGGGCAATTTATTACTTAATCGCTTAGTTTCTCCTTTTATTTAAGAAAAATAGTAGTACATTTTATTACTTAATTATATACTTAAGTAAGTACTTATGTTAAATAATGTTTTAATATCATTGAAAAAAAAAGTTATTGACAGAATTCAATGATAATCGAAAAGAAAAAAAAATCGACCAGAGAGCACAGTGAAAATACTGGCTATCAACAACAACAATGATAACGTTCCCACGATGTCAACTGAGACGGATGTGGACGGATGGACCTTGAAAATAATGAACTGTAACAGGTAACGAAAATAAAAGTAGGTACAGTTCGCAAAACACATGACTAAGTACGAATATTAAGATCCGCAGTTATAGGTCACTGTTCCGCAATAAAGTTCACGTGGTTACGTCATTTTGCGAGAAAATCATTTAGCATACTATCGAGCGTTCAGAATTAGCAACTAGTTTAATATGACCGTAGTATATGGATAGATAGTATCTTTAAGTTGCCAACTGATCTATAGACGTCAACATCGTCGTCTCAGCTTGTATACACCTACTTTTTTTTTAATGGACGATAATGGAATGGTGACTCCGCCTGCGCTATCGGTATAAACTGGCAGGGCACCAGTGAGGAATGATAAGTGAAAATGAAGCAGGTCAGTGACAAATTCACTAACGAATCAATCACGAAGGTTTCCAGGGGGAACCGCGAGGAGATCGATGCTAATCCCCATAACTAACAATCCCTTTTCCCCCCTATAGACATCCACTGCTGGACATTACCTTACTCAATGTATACCGTTAGCGCAGGCGGGGAAACCTATAACTTAAAATATTCTAAAGTAAATGCCGAAAACAACCAGAGGTGATAAAGATATATCTATTATAATTAATGGTACTTCCAAAACATGCAATGCACGAATAAAAGTTGGTAAACAAAGGCTTCATTTAATCTGTTAACAAATCAGTAATAATGTGCCAAAATACCCACTGAGAGTGAATGCCGCGTATAGGAGGACAGACTCCGGGGCATTTATTTTCCTTGTAGAATGACCGGTAACGTTAAGGAGATAATGGGAAACGGATAGGTGTAAAATACGACGATCACAAATAGTAGAAGGAATTTTTATTATGGGTGATAATGGAATGGCAATCCTGTCTGCTTTAACATTATACACTGTCGAGAGACAGCAGGGCAAAGCAGGTCAGTTAGCCAATCGTGATGAATACACCTAGACTTCAGCACGATGGTTCCCAGGAGGATCACGTGGAGGTCGACCTGGCAGGGTATATTGCTCACAATGAAACTGGTAGTCCACATTACTAATAATCCCTTCCCCCCTGAGTAGGTATTTCAACCTATAGGTAAGATACATAAAAAATAAATAAATATTTATATGGATATTTGATATGAACAATACTATATTAGAACATTAGTATGCATTAATACCATAATCGTAATATCGTGTGACCATGTTTTACTCAAATTCCAATCGATTAGTAACGGTGTGCAAATATCCTTAGGCAATATCATTATACGATACTTTTTTTTATTTTGTTCTACAATAAAATTGTATTTCAAGTATTTTCCGGGTCAATTTTTAATCAGCGAGACTAAGTTTGCAATATTACATGTTACACGCAAGTCCTACGTCATTATAGATGCATAAATCAATTTTGTACAAAATCTCCCTCACCTCCCACTGGTGAGGGAGATTTTTTGTACAAAAGTCGATTACTTGGGTACCTCTGTCCCATTCATGTTTCAACCGTGAAGCAGTTGTGTTTGCGTGACTGTGTTTCGGTTTGAAAGGTGGGATATGGCGTGAATTTACTGGGTACAGAGGAATAACATCTGAGTCCTCAGGAATGGCAACGCATGGGGGGTATCATGGGCGAAACAGTATACTCTGTTATGTTTGTGCACTGCTCATATCTATAGGCGTCGGTTACCACTTTCCATCAGGTGGGCCGTCAGCTTGTTTGCCATTCTAAGTTGTATAAAAAAAAATCAATTTGGTTGCGGAACCAATTGATTTGACTCAAAATTCTGTCGTAGAGCATGTCTCTTTAGTAAAGGTCTTTATTTAGTTTTGCTAGATTATGATCTATATCATATTTTATCGATTTTATCCAGTAATTGTAACTTTCATTATAATAAAAAAATAATAATAGTAGAAGACATTTAAGGAACATTTTTAAAAACGAAAAACCTAATTTTGTTTTAATAAGCCTGCCTATGTTTGTTCCAATATCACAAAAAAACTTTAGCATCTAATTGTATGCGGTTTTCACAATACTAAATATCGAACTTAAAATCTGATATGTTTTATCTTGATTGCCATCTAGAAATGTCTGTCATTGTATTCTCTTCAATCCCTCTCCCCTTCTCTGACGATCTCTGATGGCCCTTTAGATTCAAACCCAAAGCTTTAGGTGAAGCCCGGCCCACATAAAGCTAATACTGATTAGAGGGCGGAAAGGGATTGTTAGTAATGGAGACTGAGTATCCTATTGCCAGCAATATTGGGTATATTGCTGGCAATAGGATACCAGGTCGACCTCCTCGCGGTTCCCCCTGGAAACTATCATGGTTAATTCCTGATGAATTCATCATGATGGGCTAATTGGCCTGCTTTCATTCTCATCTATCACCCTTCACTGGTGCTCCGCCAGCGTATCCCGTTAGCGCAGGCGGAGTTACCATACCATTTTCACTCATCAAAAAAAAAAACTGATTAGAACCTATTTTAATAGGGTAATCTATAACAATCAAGATTAGAACTGCGTCACATAGCTAGACTAATTCGACCACAACATAGATATGGCATATCTTTAAAATCACAATAGCATGTTACTGCGGAGTGACCCCCGGGCCGGTGGGCGAGTCACGGAGCCACGAGGCCGCCCTATCTGATAACATTTTGGTAGTTTGACGCCTCCATTTGTCAAATTCGACGCGTGAATGCGCCGCGACAAAATCTGGGTTAAGCTATTGCAGTGACGAATGACTGATGCAAGGTTAAAATACTGACGCCGTGTTTAAATATATCTCGATCAATTATTGAGATGGTAGATTAAAATTTGTAAAGCAGGTGAACGGACCTTGTACGCTGACTGAAGAATCTGTAATAGGTACATATATATCACTATGGCTTCTCTATTATCAACAGCATTCAAAAGAATTAAAACAAAAAGGTAATGCGACTGTTAATTAATCTATGGTCTGACTGAACAACGGTGAATTAAAAACAAGGATTAACTCCGTTATTTATTTATTTATTCGCTCTTTATTGCATGACTTAAAGAATTTTACCAGAGAGAGACTTTGTACAAAAGTCGATTTCTTGGGTACCTCTGTCCCATTCGTGTTTCAACCGTGAAGCAGTTGTTTGCATGGCTGTGTTTCGGTTTGAACGGTGGGATATGGCGTGAATTTACTGGGTACAGAGGAATAACACCTGAGTCCTCAGGAATGGCAACGCATGGGGGGTATCATGGGCGAAACAGTATACTCTGTTGTATAAAAAAAATGATATTTACAATTTACTTTTTTTTATTAATAAAAAAAATTACAAACTTTGACAATTGTATCTAATATTACTTTTAGTACGTATTAATATATATTAGTTATTATTATTTTAACATAAATATACAAAACTATTTATTTGGCAAATGGAATTTATTGCTTCTTTTAATTTATACCTAACAGCCTTAACACAGATCCTTAAAATCCAGCAAAAATCAATAAGACACCTAGATATTATAATTACACTCCTTTTATATTCTCCTATCGTATCCATTTACGTTTTAAACTTGACCCCGTACGCAATTAAATATCGAAAAAGTAAAAACAAGTTCAAAGTTAAGCTCAGGAGCAGATCTAAGGCGGCCGCGCGCGAAGGCCGCAGGCGCCGGCGACCTCGCGGCACCGCGCATGCGCGAGATAAGCTTGCCACCAGCAGATAACATCTGACGCGTTGATCTAGATATTAAATCGTGTTACACATTCACTGCCGAATTATTTTCACGTCTCGCTACTAGTTGATGCCCTATTTATTCCCATGACAGTATTTTTATGTAAAACCCCAAATAATATAATAATAATATATCAATATACAAGATTTATATATTTGTCGACAGTAGGCTATTCAGAACCGACCATTACCCTCTATTATAGAGGGGAAGGGAATGTTAGTAATGCGAACTACCAGTCCTATTGCTAGCAATATACTAGAAACAACGAAAAGCAGGGGGAAAAGGGATTGTTAGCAATAGATTTTGTCAGCCCCATTGCTAGCGATTTACCCTATTAGGTCGACCTCCACGTGGTTCCCCCTGCAAACCATCAAGAACATTTCTTGTTGAATTTATAATGATGGGCTAACTGACCTGCTTCATCTATCATCCTTCACTGGTTCCCCGCCGGTGTATACCGATAGCGCCGGTGGGGTTACCATTACATTATCACCTACTAACAAAAAAACAACGAGAAGCAGCTGGGAAGTGCGTTTCATCACCAGTGACGGAAACCGTGTCACGGACGTGTCTTTTCACAACGTTTTGACTGCTAGGCCAAAGTTATGGGTAAGACATGAGACTTGTCCATGTTACCCGCCGTAAAAAAAAGTAAATAAAAATGTTGAAACAAAAACAATATTGCTGAGTATATAAAAATAATTTATTTGATTAAACATAATACAGGAGTGGGTTTAGTTTTTATATAAATGCAATCTATCGCTACAACTAAAACAATTATAATAGACACATTTTTCCTGCAAGAATATCAATTATATAATAATATAAATTATTTTGATATAAATTATTAATAAATTAAAATTAATTGTGAAAACTACAGATTTTTTTTATTATTATTAATTAATTACTGTCTATGTGCGATTTGATAATTTTTGCTTTGAATACATCTATATTTTTTAATAATACTTTAGCACCAAATAAGTTTAATTTTCAACAAAACCTTCAATTATCGGATATTAAACCAATATTTAATATATGCTATATGAATTTTCGGTATTTTTAATAAAATAGAAGCTAAATGCAATTATCACTTACGTTCGAAGCGTTCCATACGACTACACGGAATGCTTTGAGCGGACAGCACAACTGTACCATCGTATAATCCAGGGAAAATCATAATTATATTATGATTTCATATGATTTTCACTGGATATCATGAATACACATTAGAAGCACAATTATAAATTGCATTTAAAATTAGAAAATAAATTGTCATTTATTTTCTATACACGTGTTTTCGAGACCTTACTTCGCGACCTTAATATTCCTCCTTAATTCAAACTAAGATCAATTTTTTTAATGAAAAAATAAAATTTAGCTACGCACATACAGACAGACGGACAGTAAAGTAACTATTATTTTAAAATATACAATATTAATTATTCACCTCAATGTAGGAAAGATGCTGGTTAAACGTGCGTAATGGTGGGAACAAACAAATAAACTTATTCATTCAATCGCTAGATGGCGCTGATCTTTGCAATTTAAATTTTATAATAAATTAGGAACCATCCTGGTTCTGCAGTTGCTTCAACTGTTTCAGCACGGTGTCGAGTAATTTCCTTCTATCTCGCTCATTCTTCTTCAAAACGGAGAACACAGACGATTTCTGTTCGGCCTCTTTGAGTTTCTCGAGGAGTGTGGCGGCGTCGCGGGGCGTGACCAGTGAGTATTTCCCGCCCTCGATGCCAACGTCGTGAAGGTATGATGACCAGTCCCAACCGGTGATGAGATCGAGAAGTTGTCTGTTATAATATTGATTAATATGTGAGTTTATTCGTTTGTCTGTTACCTCCTGGTGCCTTAACGTCTCAACCAATGATCACAAATTTAGTATAAACGTATTATTTATCTTTAACTATAACATTTAAGTAGATTGGTACACATGTGTGACTGTAACTACTAATAAACTGTCTGTCTCATATTGAGTTGGCTGGAAGAAATCTGTTTTAGAGAAAGACTCGCATTTGTACATTATTATGTTTGTTTTTCTGATACAATTCCTTTTTGTGTACATTAAAGAATATATGGGATGAAGAAGGACATAGGTTACTATTTATCCCAGTGCATTGACATATCCCGGTCACGCAGACGACGCCGCAGGTAAAAACTAATATTAATTAAACAGAGTAATAAATAAATAAACAGTTTATAAAGCTGAATAATAACTATCGTGGGCATTATAATTAAACATTGTAGCTCTAGTCTGTAATTTTAGGTATACTTAGCCGTATCCCACGGTTTTACCCGCGTGAATTATAAATATGCTAATATATAAACCTATCCGTACCAAATTCAATTCAAATCCGTTCAGTAATTTTTTCATGAAAGAATCACGAACATACATCCATCCATTATGCATGCATTCATTCATCCATCGTTACAAATTTCGCCTTTATTACTATTATTTTTGTGATTATTTATAATAGAACAAGAAATTTTACTTATTATACTTATTACTAGGTTATCTATTAAACATAGTTTTGCTTCTTACCGCCATCTATCGGTTTACTTTTTTTCTTATCGGGATAAAACCTATCCTATCTCTTAGGTTCCTGATGTCAATAATGCTATTCATGTGTGTAGGCGACAGTTACCACTTGCCATCAGGTGGACCGTCAGTGTTTTTGCCATTCCATATCCCATAAAAAAGCAATTTTTAAATCTACACCAATATTATAAAGCGGAAAGATTTGATTTTTTATTTATAATGGACAAAGACAAAAAATATTTAACCGATATTAAAAAATATCTCCCTAATAAAAAAGCTACATCACAGGTGTATTTTATTTTTAAAAAAGCTGTACGAAGCCGGGGCATAGTCGCTAGTATTTTATACACTCACCTTAGACTCGCAAAATGCTCTAACAACTCGCCCTCCCTCAGCCCAGGGACGGGCTCGCCAGCAGCGAACTGCTCGCATTGTATCACGTCTAGATCCAGTTGGTAGAGGGCACCGGAGGAGATCTGCTTTACAGCCGGGTCCAGGAGTAAGTTGCGGAGACGCGTCGCTATACGATTCGTCGCTGCTCTAACTGCAGCCACTCTGAATCAAAAATATTTATTTACTTATTCATTATTACATATAGTGTACATGGCGGACTTAATACTAGAAGCATTCTCTCCCAGTCAGCCATAGGGAAGTGTCAGAATACTCGAATTCGGTACTAGTAATTATTGATATACTTACATACTATAATTATATTAATAAGCGAATAAATATATACATATAACAAATATACTTACACATACATAAAATATCTAAAGTCTATTTTATTAGCAATTATTAAAAATGGAAACAAATAATAACTGATCCTACCATAAACATCTACTGACTTCCAATAGTAATATAAACCCAAAATCAATTAATTGAATTAATTAATATATTACTAATTAAATTTAAAAAGTGTTACTGTGATAATTTTAACAAATAAATGATAACGAATTAATTAAGTTTTTTTTTATACAACTTAGTATGGCAAACAAACTGACGGCCCACCTGATGGAAAGTGGTAACCGTCGCCTATATACATGAGCAGTACCATGGACATAACAGAGTATACTGTTTCGTCCATGATACCCCCCAGGCGTATCTATTCCTGAGGATTCAAATGGCATATGATACAAGATGATGCGTGCAGCAGTTATCTTTATATATATATATATATATATATATATATATATATATATATATATATATATATATATATATATATATATATATATATATATATATATATATATATATATATATATATATATGTATAATAGTTATAACAATATCGTCATAGTCGTAGAATACTGACGGATCTGACAAAGATTACATATAAAGATCCGTCAGTATTCTACGACTATGACGATATGTATTTATAACAATAAATTTGCACAAAAAAATCGCATTTAATCCGCGTAAAGCTCTCAATGCTTACTAAATCAAATTAAGAACTTTGTCGAGGTCGATAATAAAAACACGCGTAAAGTAGATGCTCCAGCGAGATGAGATGTTACATGAACGTTGGCAACACTACATCCTCGTAAACATAATAATCTTTGTACATAATCTTTACTAATACCTATTATAACTGTGAAGGTGAGTTTGTTTGTTTGCTTATTACTTTTTGGCACCTTAACGGCTTAGCCAGTCAGTGTCATCATCATTAGTTCTTCATCGTTAGTAATGCAGATTATTAGTCCCATTGTTAACAATATACCCTAACAGGTCGACCTACTCGTGGTCCCTCCTGGAAACCTTCGTGCTGAATCCCAGGTGTATTCATCACGATGGGCTAACTGACCTGCCTTTTCATCCTCATTTATCATCCCTCACTGGTGCCCCGCCAGCGTATACTGTTAGCCCAGGTGGGGTTACTTTTCCATTATCATTCATTAAAAAAAATATATCAGCCTGTCCACTGTCGGACATAAACCTCCATGAGGGGTTTTGCCAACAGTTGCCACGCTTGGCAGGCGGATAAGCAACTGCAGTCAGGCTTTAGAGATGTTTTAAGAAGGATGCTGCTGCCCATCCCTCGCCCTCCTTTAGTCGCCTCTTACGACACCCACGGAAACAGAAGGGTGGCCTATTCTATGCCGGGACCATATGATAGTCACTGTGCAATTCGGTTATATTGGTACCATATGGGGCGTACAACAATATAAGCTATTTATCGCAATCGAAGTCGCGGGTAAAAGCTAGCTCATTTATAATATATTTCAACGGTAATTTACATACATTTGTTTACGCTATATGTGAATAAAGGACGTCTTTTTCTATGTTACACAAGACAGGTAAATTGTACATAATGCCTACAGTAATATTAAGATTCTATTCACGTACAAAACAAACAGGCACACGAGATGTGTTTGCATCTCGGATGACTTAATATTATTTGGTAAAACGAGCTATCCGTATCAAGTTACACCTTCGTCAAAGAGCTTTCGCAATATCTTATCTTACTAACTAATATAATAAAATCCTAACTAGACATTATCTGTACTTGGAAGATGTTTAAGAAAAAAAAAATTATGCAACTTAGAACGGCAAACACGCTGACGGCCCACCTGCTAGAAAGTGGTAACCGTCACCTATAAACGTGAGCAGTACCATAGACATAACAGACTATACTGTTTCGCCCATGATACCCCCCAGGCGTTGCCATTCCTGAGGGCTCAGATGTTATTCCTCTGTACCCTGTAAATTCACGCCATATCCCACCCTTCATACCGAAACACAGCCATGCAACCACAACTGCTTTACGGTAGAAACACGTATGGGATAGAGGTGCCCAAGCAAATGACTTTCGTACAAAATCTCCCTCTGGTGACTTATATTTATATATTTATTTTTATATTTACATATATATATATATATATATATATATAGAAAATTTATATATAATATTTAGATTAAAGTAAGGAATTGAATTCCCTACTTCTGAAATCTAAACGTACGAAGCAGCAGGCAAATACTAGTCTTTTAGTATTTATACTTTATCTTATTTCTATAAATTATGTCAACGTGTAGAAAGTTCCAGCCATAATAACCTTCCGAAATATAATAAAAATAAAAGGCAAAGCATTTAGGTGTTTACATAATTATTTAAAGCATACTACTGTCACATAAATATGTTGAAATAGTATTTACTTTTATATAACGTATTTTATTACAAACAGGATTTTGTTTTTAGGACAAATAGGTATGTAACATTTCATTAAAAAAAAAACAATGACCTCAAACGTGACAAAACTGATATCGACTATACATTATCATCAACATCATTTCAGCCATTACCCGTCCACTGCTGGACATAGGCCTCCCCCATAGACTGCCATAAAGAACGGTCCTGAGCCACCTGCATCCACTGACTCCCTGCAATGCATTTGTCGTCACTCCACCTAGGTTTTCCTAAGTTACAGGATGGGGTTCTTTAAAAAGGAGGTAAAGAGGTTTCTTCAGGATCGGTACGATGTCTTTACATATGTGCAAACGGGAATTTTATTAACTTACTGTGTTTATTTACCATTAAGGAGTTTTTTATTTTATTTTTTTATTTTATTTTATTTTATACAAAAATCCACAGCTCTTAAAAAATAATTTACATACTATATCCCTTATGAATACAGCCAATATCGGATTTTATTTATACAAACAAAAACTTTGATTCCAAAGCGAGGTAGGCAAGTTAGAGTGGGTGTATGCAAATAATATAAGCATGTATGAAAGAAACCATATATAATAGTGAGTGTCCATAAAGTTAAGTTAATTGATATATAAAATAATTAAAATTCATGTTGCTAAAGTTCAGATATTGACAGCAATGATTAAATAATACAAATTCATGGTCACCAATTGTAAAGAGTTACCAGTAGTTGCCACGCTTGGCAGGCAGATTGGTAACCGCAGTTGTGAAAACCGGTACAAATAAAGAGACACACAGACAAACTTTCTAAACAATATTATTTTAGCATCTATTGCTCTTAGTAAGACCCTTCATAATATTTTTTTTTTAAATATCTCCATGTACAGACATCGTCTAGGTACTATCTAATATATAAAATTCTCGTGTCGCGGTGTTTGTTACCAAACTCCTTCGAAACAGCTTTACCGATTTTTATGAAATTTTGTGTTCATATTCGGTAAGTCTGAGAATCGGCCAACATCTATTTTTCATACTTCTCAATGATAAAGGTGACCCATCCCTAAAAAATTTTTTTTTATTTATTTGATAATTTTTTTTTTATTTTATTTAAATATGATTTAGCATTGAAAAATACATACAACTTTAAATTTTCATCCTTTTATGATCAACCCCTTTATTTTTTATTCGTGATTTTTATATGCTGCAACCATATGGTTGTAAGATGACAATCAAATATAATGGTTGTAGTACGATAAATTTTCATGTATAGTTCTAGAAATAATGTATATGGTAAAACAACGTTTGCCTAGTTAGCTAGTATTATTATAATAATAAGATTCGAGTGAGTTTATTTAGATTTACAATGTAATATTCAATACCGTAGTACAAGTTGATGTGACCTCGACCAAATTACGTCTTATAAAATACTTAAGGTTTCTAAAACTGGTTTTTATTACAACATTTCTAACATTTTTTTACACAACTCTGGTGGCAAACAAGCACACGTCCCGACTAATGGTAAACGGATTTACCGTAGCCTATGAACGCCTGTAACATTAGGGTTGTCACGCGCGCGTTCCTCCTCCACCTATTTTACATGTTATTTTACTTTGTATGAACTTTTTTTGCAAGTGTAACAATGTTTGCTGAATAAATTATTATTTATTTATTTATAGGACTTTTTTTATGGGTGAAAATGGCATGGCAACCCCGCCTGCGCTAACGGGATACGCTGGCGGAGCACCAGTGAAGGGTGATAGATGAGAATGAAAACAGGCCAGTTAGCCCATCATGATGAATTCATCAGGAATTAACCATGATAGTTTCCAGGGGGAACCGCGAGGAGGTCGACCTGGTTGGGTATATTGCTAGCAATGGGATTCTCAGTCTCCATTATTAACAATCCCTTTCCCCCCTTATTTATAGGACTGCGATCGACAAACATTTTATTTCCTTACCTGGCTCTTTCGGGTAGCTGCTCGAGCGAGGTGAGCACCCCGGACAGGTAGCTTAACATATCGGTGACGAAAGACGACGCCTGGCCCGTCGGCTCCACTGTGCACATACCAAATCCTATTAATATTATAATTGCGAAAGTTTATAAGGATGGATGGATGGATGGGGGGAAGGGATTGTTAGCAATGGAGTTTCACAGCCGCACTGCAAGCAATATGCCCTATTAGGTCGACCTCCACGTGATTCCCCGTGGAAACCATCGTGAACAATTCTTGTTGAATTCGTCACGATGGGATAACTGACCTGCTTCATCCTCACCTATCACCTCTCACTGGTGCCTGCCGCGGCTGGCCATAGCGCGGGTGGGATTACCATACCATTTTCACCCATCAAAAAAAAACTTAGTATATAGGATACTTTATGTACTAACTCACGCGGTCGAAGCCTCGGGATAAAGCTACTTCATTATAATAAACAGAAAAAAAAATGTTAAAAGGTTTTTCGGTTTGAAGGGTGGGATATGGTAGTAAAATTACAGAGTATGGAGTATGCCTCCGTATCCTGTAATTTTTTAACGCTACTTACTCAGGAATAGCAACGCACGAGGTATACCATGGAATCCATAGTGTATTTTATATGATAACCATGGTGCCATGGTTTAAAAACCAATGTTTTATTTTTATTATACAGTATTATAATATAATAATGTCCTCTAAATTATATTGTAAAACTAGTTTTAGAACATTACTTTTATCAAAAGTTTCATATTTTAAATTTCATATGTTGGGTATAAATGAGTAAATGAGTTTATTTGTTTGTTAACTTTTGGCGTCTTAACAGCCTAACCAGACAATTTGAAAATAAGTATATATAAAGGTACTATAGGGAATGGAGAAGAACATATCTGTCACGCCTGTCTCCCATTAGGGTAGGCAGAAACAATGGAACGCCAAATGCTTCGATTCAAACAAACCTCTTTCGCTTCTTCCACATTCATCAATCTTTTCATACACGCTCGCCGAGGTACTTTTAATTTGGCCCTTCTTCAGCACGTCGCCTATTTGGTCAACATACGTCTGTCTAGGGCGGCCCCTACCGACATCTCCATTCATTCTTGCTCGATATATCTCTTTCGTAATTCTTCTTTCATCCATCCTCTTCAAATGGCTAAACCAACGCAACATTCATGGAGAAGAACATAGGTTATTTTTTCAACCCAGTCAGTAAACATATTCTGGGCACGCAATGGAAACTGCGGGTAAAAGCTTGTCTTTAAAAAAGAACAGTCTCAACTTATCAAGTACCAAGTATTAGATCCAATTTAAGTCTAATTGAGATTGGAAACAGCATCTCTGAACTAGTATTCACCCAGAATGTGAACTTGTCTTTTTGGCCTTATCGCATTATTTTTCGTTAGTTTGTCTTTTAAAAACCAGTAGTTTCATACAAAATTCATAGTGTCATTACGTTCAAATATTACAATCATTAAGGAACCGAAACTTGGTCTCAAATTATTTAACGGATTATGGAGAGGGCTCTCGGCTCGGAGTTTTTTGCGTGACAGTATCCGAAACGAGGATATCCGCAAAAGAACCAAAATAACTAACATAGTCTGAAGGATAAGTAAGCTGAAGTGGTAATGGGCTGGTTACATAGCTCGAAGAGCCGACAACCGATGGAGAAGAAAAGTTCTTGAGCGGCGACCCCGTACGGGCAAACAGTGTAGGACAACCCGCCACTAGATGGAGTGACAACCTCAAATGCACTGCATCCCCTGACTCCTAGAAAATATTACTTACCTAGAAGCCAATCGTAATTCTCGAGATCTAGAAATTCGTCGACTTTCTTTTCCAGTTTGTCGCATATCTGCTGCTCTGCATCGTCGCGCGCCGCTTGGAACATACTACCAGCTGCCTGTTGCAATATACATTGTAACTGCATTAAAAAATGCATAAATGTCCAACAATAATTTTACCACAGGGAGACTTTGTACAAAAGTCGATTGCTTGGGTACCTCTATCCCATTCGTGTTTCAACCGTGAAGCAGTTGTGTTTGCATGGCTGTGTTTCGGGATATGGCGTGAATTTACTGGGTACAAAGGAATAACATCTAAGTCCTCAGGAATGGCAATGCATGGGGAGTATCATGGGCGAAACAGTATACTCTGTTATATTCATGGTACTGCTCATGTCTATAGGCGACGATTACCACTTTCCATCAGGTGGGCCGTCAGCTTGTTTGCCATTCTAAGTTGTATAAAAAAAAAAATTATTCAAGTAAACTTAACAATAAGCATTTTTGAATAGTCATTTTTTTATAAACTACCGTCCAGTTCAGAATACAATTTCAGCTGAGAAGAACAGGCAAGATACTAAGCTATTAGTATGGGAAGATCAAAATTTTCACCTTGAATTAAATATCAATTTGTAAGTAATTTTTTTTTATTATTTCAACCGTTAACTGTCCACAATTGGGGGGAAAAGGATTGTTAGCAATGGAGTTTGACAGCCCCATTGCTAGCAATATTAGGTCCTACCCCTATTAGGTCCACCTCCACGTGGTTCCCCCTGAAAACCATCGTGAACAATTCTTGGTAAATTCGTCACGATGGGCTAACTGACCTGCTTCATATTCACCTATGATCTTTCACTGGTGCCCCGCCGGTGTATACCGATAGCGCGGGTGGGGTTACCATAACATTATCCACTAAAAAAAAACTGTCCACAATTGGACATAAGCCTTCCCCATAAGAAGAGTATTGCCAGTAGTTGCCATGCATAGCAGGCAGATTGGCAACCGCAGTTAGGATTTTAGAGACGTTTTATAAGAGCTGCTGCCCATCCCTCGCCCTATCGCAAGCATATTTTTTACTAAACCTAATCCCGGTTTTTCATGATTTTTTTAATAAAATACAAAACATATTACTCGCTGACAATAGAACTTTCTTCAGGTAAAAGAATTTTAAAAATCGGTTTAGTATTTTTAGTTTATCTATAACAAGCAAGAAATCAAATCTTCCCTCTTTATAATTTTAGTTCAGAAACTTTACCTGGGTGGTGACAAGTTCGGAACCGGTGATGTTGCTGATGAACTCGTATAGATATAACGTCGCGTCTTCCAAGTACTGCGTGTCCACGATGATCTGAAATAAAATCAATCAATCATTGATGATGGGAAATAAAATTTCTTTTATTTTTTTTTTTTTTTTTACTTTGACTTTAACAATTGTCAACTACATAATCTACAGAATTTAATTCGAAAAACCTGTTATTGGCCATACTACTTTGTTATAAAATGTTTGTTAATTTTATTTGTAAACCGCTGTTGGTTTTTTAAAATAAATAAATAAATAAAATCAAATTAAACAAAACAAATTTTATTCAAACTCAAACGATACGTCATTTTTAAATTATTATAATTACTTTATAAAAGAATATTGATTAAATTAATTAACTGTCTTTAAAATTATAATAAGAAAAATAAAATACAATAAATATACACTTCACATTAATACGAAGTTAAAATCCATGCATTACCATACCATACCATAACAACCATTTATTCTCCACTGCTGAACATAGGCCTCCCCCATAAATGGGGTTTTGCTTTGATGATATTTTAAGGAGGCTGCTGCCCATCATTAGATTATTAAGTTCCCTTAGTCGCCTCTTACGACAGTCACGGGAAAGGAAGGGGCGGCCCATTCAGTGCCGGATTTATACCATTCATAAAATAGAAAAAAAAAAAGAAAACTGTTTAATTGGCGCATTCCAATAACAGTTACAACAAAAACATAAACAATTTATTAACTTGAATCTATATTCATACTCTATAGTAACAATACATTATTGTAGTATGACAAGTTTTTCACCTTGTATAATGTAATGTATGTAATGTAATATATACCACACACACCTTAAATGCCCTATCAATATTCTAAATATGAAATATTGTAAAATGTTTAATTATTTTTTACACAATCACACTTATAAATTATAAATAATATAATATAGTAAATTATATTCTAACGTATAAGATATTTTATCTAACTTTTCACAGTCTTTTTTTATATACAACTTAGAATGGTAAACAAGCTGACGGCCCACCCGATGGAAAGTGGTAACCGTCACCCATAGACATGAGTAGTACCATGAATATAACAGAGTATCCTGTTTCGCCCATGATACCCCCCATGCGTTGCCATTCCTGAGGACTCAGGTGTTATTCCTTTGTATCCTGTAAATTCACTGCCATATCGCACCTTTCAAACCGAAACAGTCATGCAACCACAATTGCTTCACGGTTGACACATGAATGGGAGAGAAGTCTACCCAAGCAAACGACTTTTGTACAAAGTCTCCGTCTGATAAAAAATCGCGGGAAACAGTTAGTTAGTACCATTTTAGTAAGTCTAACTTTTCAATTCGTATGACACTACTGTTACTGATGGGTATAGGATACCTGAACAATCTGCATGAGGGGTAATGGCCTGCGGAACAGCGCTGACAAGCAGCCAGTGAAGGAGCGGCTGAGCAGCAACGAGGCCGAGTGCCGGGCGGCCGCCGCCCGCCGGCTGCCGCCGAAGCCCAGCCCAACCGAGTACTTCAGCCATGCGTATATAAACTCCTTCACTTGTACGTATACATCTGGTACTACCGATGAGAACGGGAACCTGCGAATTTTTTTTTTTTTATACAACTTAGAATGGCAGACAAGCTGACGGCCCACTTGATGGACAGTGGTAACCGTCGCCTATAGACATGAGCAGTACCATGGACATAACAGAGTATACTATATCGCCCATGATAACTTCCATGCGTTGCCATTCCTGACGCCCTTCAAACCAAAACGGGCGATAATGTAATTGTAACCCCGCCTGTGCTATCGGTATACGCTGGCGGGGCACCAGTGAGGGATGATAGGTGACGATGAAAGCAGGTCAGTTAATCGTAACGAATTCCCCTACGTGGTTCAACACGACGGTTTCCAGGGGAAACCGTATTGAGGTCGACCTAAAAAGGTATACTTGTATTGCTAGAAATGGGGCAGTTAGACCCCTATTACTAACAATCCCTTCACCCCCCCCCCCCCCCTAGTATTTAATTAAACTAGCTTTTTTGCCTGCTACATCCGACGCGTGAATTTTAGAAATATGATAGCCAATGAAATATGGTACTTATAGATGGCGTATTAAGGTAAAATATATACCAGATATTAAGGTAGTATAACATATATAAAAAAAGGATATAGAAATTAAATCACTTAAACAGAAAAGAAATTAAATCTATGTTACAATATTACGTACTTAGATTATATGGATAGAGTCTTCATGCAAATGCTTCGAGAAAAGCGGGTCAACTTTTTCATACAATTTTTCGTGATAAATAGTTATTAGTGATTCTTTTATAACTTCTATTTTTAATTTGTCTTATAAATTCTGCTTCCTTTTAATGCGTTTTATTTATTAAATAATACGTTAAGATACATTTTATACATAAATATATAGAATACTGATAAAAAATTGGCCCGTTTTTGAGACTCGACACTATATATATAATCTCAAGTCACGTACTTCCTTGGGAATGGTTGGGAATCCAACTCTTCACCGTCGTATGGAAAGATATCCATTACACCGTCGTACTGGTCTTGATTTTGAACCTAATAAACAAGAAATTCAATTGTAACAAAAAGCATTATACTAGAAGATTATTTTATTCAACTAAAAACCACAAATAACTCACTAGCTGAAAGCAGTACTCATTGCCCATAGACATGTGTTTGTGCTGCGTTTCGGTTTGAAGGGTGGGATATGGCGTGAATTTACAGGGTACAGAGGAATAACACCTGAATTCTCAAGAATGGCAACGCATGGGGGGTATCATGGACGAAACAGTATACTCTTTTATGTCCATGGTACTGCTCATGTCTATAGGCCACGGTTACCACTTTCCATCAGGTGGACCTTCAACTTGTTTGCTATTCTAAATTGTATAAAAAAAAGACATGAATGGCACCATAGACAACGTTAGTGACGGGATTATTTAAATTCTATGTTTTGTATTTAATGATACACTAGCTTCTTGCTTTTCATTGCAGGGAGTCAGTGGATGCAGGTGGCTCAGGACCATTGTTTATGGCTGTCTATAGGAGAGACCTATGTCCAACAGTGGACGGATAATGGCTGAAACAATGATGACGATAGCTTCTTGCAGACAGCTACTCTGTACACGTGGATCTCAGAATTAGAAAAATCAATTAAATAGACCGCTTCTATTACTGCTCATGTCTATAGGCGACGGTTACCACTTTCCATCAAGTGAGCCGTCAGCTTGTTTGCCATTGTAAGTTGTATAAAAAAAATTCTAAATGGCGTATGAATATGAAACACACATTAGATTTTAAGGTAGACCTTCAAGAACAACTGTGAATCGCATACAATTTGATGCAACAGTTTTTCCGTGATAGTAGAACAAACATACAGATAGTCATAACAATTCTAAAAATTATACTATATTGAATTGACTTAGACTCCTAATATCAATTACTCTTAAATATCTCCCATCTTTTTCATGCAACTTAGAATGGCAAACAAGCGGTCGGTCCACCTGATGGAATGTGATAACCGTCGCCTATAGACATGAGCCGTACCATGGAGATAACAGAGAATACTGTTACGCCCATGACACCCCCCATGCGTACTGTACATGTACAACGCACATTGTACAGACGTTGTCTACTTACAATTTTATTATATTAGTAAGTAAAGGCTCGTTATTACTTCAGTGCAGCATTATTGGCACATATCAATATTGTCATTATTCAATTATATTAATATTATTAAACTTACAAAACAAAATCTAAACCCATTTTATACTTTAATACCTATCGGTTTAACTTACGTGTAATTAAATTGAGAAAGCTCGACTAGACTCGCGACCCTGACTGCGCGTCTCGTGCCTTTTCAGCGCGAGCTGTAAGCGCTTAAAATCGTCACAGCTTAAAAAGACAACGTTCGGAATTCTTCGGCTATGAACGGCTGGGCTCTGTAGTCGTCCTCTTACGAATTGATCCCGAAACTAGTCGAGCTTTCTCGATCTAAATACATTAAAATATAAGCCGTCCACAGACGCCACTCTGTTATGGACATCAGTGTATATTGTGATGCTTGTGGGATCCCATATGTACCAAGAATCAAAGCTGTGGTTACCTCTATGGGCATAAAAGCGGCGTTATCTAAAATATCTCTGAAGACGACCACCCATCTCTGCATAAGCACTTCTGTGTAGTGCTCGGCCATTTCATGCAGCAGCAGGGGTAATGGATCCGTCGGCAGACCGTAACATCTGGAAGTAGACAACATAGGTCAAGGCATCAAGGTTTTTTAGTGATGATGATGGAATGGTAACCTGGCCTGTACTGATGGTATATGCTAGCGGGGCATCAGTGAAGGATTAGGGTAAAAATGAAAAGGCAGGTCAGTTAACCCATCGTAATGAATACTCCTGGAATTCACCACGATGGTTTCCAGGTGTACCACGTGGAGATCGACCTCACAAGATATATTGCTAGCAATGGGACTGAAAGTCAGAATTACTAACAATCACCTTCCCTCAAGACATCGAGGTTATTAGCTGCATCCCGCGGTTGTGTCCGCGTTTTTGGGATTGTGTCACTAACATATCGTCATAGTCGTAGAGTACTGACGGATCTGACAAAAATTACATATAAAGATCCGTCAGTATTCTACGACTATGACGGTATGAGTAGTAATAATAGATTAGTATTTTAACATACATCTCCTCAATATACAATCGAAATAAATTTATTTTATTTTATCAATCATTCTCTCTGTTTTTTAGTTTTTTGAAAAAAGAACTAATTCACTCATATTTATTGAAACCATTCCTTGGCATATACCAGATACAATAAAAAAAAACTTACTTCAATGTACTTATGAATAACACAATCTGATGTTTAATGCTCAGCATTAAGGTCGGGTCCGTGATCAAAGATGTATTGGTCCGCAGAGTTGAAGCCACCTTTGTCACCGCCATGCTCCATGTATCTAGCAACCAGTCTTTTGACACCAGACCGGCTCCTGTACTCAGAAGATGCTCCTCGAGTATGAAAAATCCGAGGACAGCATTCAAGTAGTTCTTTACACTTTGGATGGAGTCATGGAGATTTCCAGAAGACGGTATGAGGACCAGCCGGGCTTGCTGCTTGCGTTGAGCTCTGTGGAAAATTATAATTATTGGTGTAAGAGGAATTACACTTGAAGAGGTCATTTATGGAAGATGTATGAAATATGACGTGTGTTCCCAGTTTGGCCACCCCTTCCTTTCCCATTAGCGTCATAAGAGGCAACTAAAGAAACTTAAAAGTCGAGGGATGGATAACAGCAACAGTCCCTTCTAAAGCATCAAAAAGCTAATTGCGAGGGAAAGGGATTGTTAGTAATGGGGAGGTTAATCCCCATCGCTATCAATATACCTTATCAGGTCGACCTCCACGCGGTTCTCCCTGGAAACCATCGTGACTAATTTATCTTATTACCTTTCGTCTTCACCAATCATCTCCCACTGGTGCCCCACTAGTGTATACCGATAGCGCAGGCGGGGTTACCATTCCATTATAATACATAAAAAAAAGTTATTTGCAGTTACCAACCCGCCTGCCAATTATGGCAACTACTGGCACTACCCACCTCTACGGGGGAGGCCTATATTCAGCAGTAGACAAATCGGTATAAAAAGTACCTTATATTCTTCTCATCTACTCATATTTGTATACACATGTACAAATGAAGCAGGATATATTCAATTTTTATAGTGATTAAGCCATTAAGGTGCCATAAGCTACTTTCACAAAATTTCATTCAAATTAGTTAAGCAGTTTCGAAGATTAACGTGAGCGTAGTAATTACAAAATTACAGAACATTTACAAATATTACTCAATATGATTTTAATAATAATATAAAATACCTCACCTATAATACTGTATAAAGTCATTCTTGGCGCCGAGAACACTGTGTATATGCAGACATCGGTGCAGGGGACTAAAATCCACCAATTCGTGAGGACATTGTGGCCCGCTGCTTTCTTTAGCGGCTATACCCAATACTGTCATGTCTGAAACAGTTTGCAAATAACAACTTTAATATAAAACAAATACATGCACTAATTGCTTAATCAATCAAAACTTATTTAACAACTTTATTTATTTTTTTGCTTACCTCATACCATAAAAAACAATAACCATAAAGACAAGAAAATGATACTTGTAGATAATATAACATAAACTAATAGGTTAATTATAGTAAATATAGGGTACATTTACTATCATTTTAAAATATTTATAAATGAAGCAAGCACCCACCTTTTTTATTTTTGACAATATTGGCTAAACTTCTTCCCGACATGTCTTGAGTTTGCTTTAACGCCATAGCACCAACCTGCGGATAAATAAACAATTCTATGCAACTTCTGTTGTTTTTATTTTTCTATAAGTGCTAGGATCTCGACTGATAATATAAAGAGACCAAAGTTATTTCTTGACTGATATTGGCAAATTTCAAAAATTTTCATAGTATTTATTATATTTTTTTTATATAATTTTAATTTTGAACCATAGCTTCATTAAGTTAAATATCTGTCTATTGCTATATTTTGAGTAAGCGCATTCCATATTAAAACTTGCCATTATTTTCCATCAGATGAAGTGAATCCAAGTGTCAATCAATCATATCAACGTCATCAAACTTTTTCATTAATAAACATACCTAAATACTATTAAATATAATAATATAGTGAAGAAACCTGTGGGCTGAGCGTGCGTATGTTTTCCAGAAAATCTCTCAAGTCTGCCATAGACGCGTCCTGTATCGCCTGTCGTAGTCGAGGTATGTCAGCCGATATCTGGGCGCACCACTTGTATGGGCCCACCCGTGGAAGCAATACATGTTCCAATTGCTCTAGGGTTTTGAGAGCAGGGTAGTATCTATCAGAAAAAAAAAATATTAGCAATATCAAGAAGAGGAGAAAATATTTATGTCTACCCATTCATGAGCACATAAAATATCTTCTTTTGTGTATAATGAATGTTTTAGCTACAAAGCGTCCATATTAGGTGTTCAGCAGTAACAAAAATTAAATTAATGTCCACATAATATTCATTAAAATTAATTTCTAAATAATAAAAAGAATAGAAATAAAGTACTTAAGGTGCCCAATATTTTGAATCAACATTATTAAAAAAATTTACATCCAACTCTTAAGTATAAATAAATACAATTAATAAATAGTTTGTCAACCCCATATTTTAATTTATCAATGGAATTTGCAACCTTTTTAAAAATGCATGTACCTTTTTGCTTCCACTTGTGTTTTCAGTTTTGAATATGTAGTAAGTAGTGGTAGACACAATTCCATCTTTTCAATTGTGGCGGCAATATTTAATTCCACTCTACGAGCTCTGATAAGATCTTGAGCTCTTGCACATAGACCTGTAATGAAATGCAATATATGTATAGTAATTAATATAAATGAGACATTTTAATAATAAAGTACAAAATCAACTGGCCTATACTTAAAAGTACAGTTTTAAAGGAGTGGTTTACAATGGGCCTATTAGTGAAATTTGACATTTTCATAATCACAAAACAACAATGAGCCTCCCATACTAACATGGCATATTCATCTGTTAAGTTAATGTATATTTTTTTTGTTTACCTACCATTATTTTAACACTCTTTCAAAATGATGCTTATGAATTTAATTTAAACATTTAAACATTTAATTTTAATATTTAAATGCATATTTTCTCAATAACTAAACCTAATCATCATTTGTTCAATAGCCATTCAATAAAAGTAAATAATTAATTACATAATTAAAACTTGTCATTTTATTTACTTTCAAAATTAGAAACAAAGTACTAACTTTCAGTAGTCTCTTTAACATTAGCATCAACATCTGATATCTTGGCATGAAGCTCTTCAGCATGAGAACGCACTTGAAGCAACTCCCTAATTGAATCTATGAAACCCTGGAATTGTAAAATATTAGAATAACTATTGTTCTGTTCATCTATAATGGACCAAAAGGTTACAAATGTTACTGTACACAAATCATGATACAACATTGATTTTTTTTATAACTCAGGGACCTAACGAGCATGCGGCTCACCTAATGGTAAGTGACTACCACTGCCCATGATCACTCACAACACCAAAGGCATTATGGGTGTGCTGTGGGTCTTATAAAGAGCAATATGCTACTTATATGAAAGATTCTCCCCATCATCATTGTACAATCATTTTCAAATAATATAAATTCAAAAGTTTTCAAGATTTTCTATTACCATTACAAAAAAAAACAGTAGAAACTTATCCAAAATCACATTCATTAACAGTGTGCAGTACTTCTGTAAAACATATAAATAAAATTCTCATGTTCTTACTTGGTAATGAAAATTACACAACTTCTCAATCTCTTTATCATGTTGCTTGATTCTTTCATCCAATTGTTGAACAAATGCTTCATGCCCTTCACCTTCATACACTGAGCGGAATGCTGGACCCCAGTAATCATCTATTCCTTCTATCTCCTATTAATAAATAAATCAGAAATAAATTTGAACTTTAAATAAAATACAAATTCTTTTATACTTATAATATAGAATATATGCATTATTATTGAATTATGATAGATAAATACGTAATTAACAATTTGTATATATTTTACTGTGATAAAAATATTATTTATATTTGGTCTCTAAATAGTGGGTGTTGATACCTGTATAGTCGCATTGGTCATTTTGTTTTTTAAAGTTCAGAACCTAATAAAATTATTGAAGGTGTCATAAAGGGACTTAATGATTTTAAATTAGAATTAGGTTACAACAAAGTATCTAAAAAATTAAATCTCAATGATATTTATTCTTATTTAAAAGTTAATAACAAAATTCTAAAAAATACATTTTGACATCACTGACATTAGCTACAGAGTACACAGAATCTCAGAAATGTACTCTGTATAGCAGAATAGGTATTCTTCTTAGAATAGATACGAATATTTTTTTTATTTTAAGGAATTAAGACGGGATAATAAACAAAAACGCTGTGGCAAATGATTCTATCGATACATACGTTATCGCTACTGAGTGCGTGAGACAAGCGACATGTATTTTTAAGTTTTAGTAATAAAACTTAAAAAGAAGTAATAAAATGTAATTTATGGATTTTATACTATCGTGTAAAATATCTTTGACCGTATGCATATATAAATAATTAAGAGGTTTACACTAACTTTAACTTAAAGATCGCACATCTTAATAAAATTATTTTACAGTAAAAAAGTCAGTGAGATTGAGATTATTTTTATCAGCATCTCTTTCCAACTCAAGTAGTGTAAAAGAGATGGAAAATATATCGTAAGTACGCCTTCTTGAATTTCGAAAAAGGCAAAGTTAATTCAACTGCACAGGCCGGATATGGAAATTGACAAAGTTGTTCTATCAAATCGTTAACGTCAAATCAAACGTCACGTCACAATCAAGTCAAGAGATATGCCAAAAAAGTTCTAAAAGTCAAATCAAAAGTATCAAAACTGCTTTTACGCAGAAGGGTGTGAGTCGTGTCGATCCTTGTTTTTTTTTTTATTTGATCAGTATTCGATTAATTGAAACGATCAATTAGTTTTATTAATCCATGTTTCCCTAATTAATTTATTTATAAATAATTGGTAACTTATTTTATCAGTATTTATTAGTCCGGCAACCATGGCTCACTGTATGAGAGTTTTGCATGGCCAGGTAAGTAATATTTTTTCCACATTTACGTGTACTTCATCTGTTATAATAGGACAAATTAATCATTCTATAGTCTATAATAACAATATGAAGATTATTAAATGAATTATCAAAACTTAGTATATATTGAATATATCTGATACAATCCCAATGAAACTGGTCACGTAAAATTAGTTTTACGTAAGGCCAGTAGGTTATGATTAGTATCCTCGTATCTCTGTTATCTCATCTCACATAATAGGTAGTAAATACCGATGTGACAGCGGTCGGTTATTTTCCATAGGTTTATTAACTTACGTGATGTTTTCAGGGTGGCAGGACGAGAGCAGTACTCTTGGAGATTCAGCAGAGATGCTTCAGCGTGTCTCCTCTTACCGCCGCGGCGGCCCAGGTACTTGGACGGTTCAAAAATATGTTTAATGGATATTTTTCAGTGATAACACAATACTGTTATGTAATCATTGAAGCATAGAAAATTTTATGTTCTATGTTATGAATGATGTTTTTAAATGGTAAATGATGTTTTTTAGATGTCGAGGTTCGACAAAGCTCCCTTGCCCTACGAGAAATTATCACAAAATTTGGAGATTGTGAAAAAGAGGCTAGGTCGTGACATGACCTTGTCAGAGAAGGTCCTCTATTCACATTTAGATGACCCGAAAGGACAAGTAAGTAATTATATTGAACTTTTATTTTATATTTTATATTATACATCCAAATTTTTCTATAATTATTAGTGAAAAACTTGACATTAGTATTTCACACTTGGCACTTGATAATTCTATAAATTAACACTTGATAACCTTTGTAACTCAGTAGTATGTTTCTGTATTAATCATTTCCCAAGCATAATCTTGTATGAATTCACTATTTGAGAACATTTTAAATTAGTTTAGATCCAGTTCTGAATTATACCTCAATTATTTGTTGAGTTCCACATAAAAGTGACACTATAATGTTAATCTTTGGTCTACCTCAAGCTGTTTAGACTTTTATCACTCTGACAATGAGCATTGTTATTTACCATTATGCTATTCTATAATTTTATAATGATTATATTAAAATCCTGCCAAATGCCATCAATCAACACCAACAAAACAATTAATTTATACCAACCGAAATTTTAATAAAAGTAATGATAAAATATGGAGATATAACACTTTAGTCTTCAAGAATGGCAACATATGAAGAGAATAATGGGTGTCATATTGTACTCTATGATGTTCATGTCTATAGACGACGGTTACGACTTTCTATCAGATGGGCCGTCAGCTTTGCGATTCTAAGTTGCAAAAAAAAGATTGCATATATATTTAAATGTAACTTATATATAATATTATTCTATAATATATATATATATGATGTTTATATGTTATATAATGTTATTCTTTAATAAATACTTATAATGCTGTTTATTATTGAATGTTTTTATACTAACAGGATATAATTATATTGTATAAGGTCATTAAATTAGCCTCTAAATTCACAGTAATATGATAACATGATATATAACATAAATAAACATATTTATTTGTAATACCACTTGTCAATGATATGATAAGATCTAAGTATCTCCAGCATTGTTGTGACTTTTTTTTTAAATATGTACATACAATTACAACAGACTACCTATGAATATTATTTTAAAACTTGTTCTAACTTTCTATATATTTATAATTAGTTAATGGGGATTTAACAAACAAAAGGATGTTTATCATTCCCGATCAGTCTTAATTTTGAAGGTTTTGTCAGAGTAAGTATGATAATGTCATAGTAAGATACTATGATTCTGTTGAAAATAATAATAATGAATATCTGAATATAGTAAAACATCAAATCTGGAAAATGTTTGATTCAGCCTGATTTCATTTAAATTCATTACAAATAATCATTAAATGCATTCTATTCTTTATTTGCTTTTTTATCATTATTATATTCTTTTCCTATATAGTTTTATTTATATTATTATGGCCTTTAATCATACTATTATATGGTCTAGTAATAATAATATAAAAAAATGAGATTCATTCTACATGCACCTTAAAGAGATGTAAGTAAAAATTTCTAAAATCTATAGAAACATAAATAAAAATTATCATTCATTCAGGAAATTGAACGTGGCACCAGTTACCTCCGACTTCGGCCAGACCGCGTGGCTATGCAAGATGCGACTGCACAGATGGCCATGTTGCAGTTCATCTCATCTGGATTACCTCGAGTTGCTGTCCCATCCACCATCCACTGTGACCACTTGATCGAAGCGCAGATCGGTGGCGATAAGGATTTAGCCAGAGCTAAGGTATGGCTTGTCCTTTAAAGAAAATTTCAAAATTACTTCAAATACATAGAAATATAATGAAAAATATTTTTATCTGAATGTCTTTATCACCATTATTTCAATATTACAATACTATTTTTCATATTCCCATAAAATAATATAAATTAATTAATTAAATTGAAACGCTGGTGACAGCACCACTTGACAAATGAGTCTGACTACCCCATTGGGTATTGTAGTCATAAGCAAATAAAGAATTCTTTTTATTATTATAAGTTTTATTAACCAACCGCAACATTGTCAAATACAACAATGAAATGCATATTTCCAGTAGACATTGCTTTACAAATAGAAAATTACATACATAATTACAGTAAATAATTAATTGAATATTTTTTGAAAATTGTACAGTCCTCTGTAACAGAGGATGAGCCTTCGGCTGTGTTTGTGATTAGTTTGATAAAGGTGTTTATCATCGTCAGAGAGTTAACCAAAAATTTTAATAGGAAAGCTTTTAGGGATGTTGTAGTTGCAAACCATTAAAACACTAAACTACAGTTATCTTTTTTGTAATTAGTCTATTATAATGTTTATTTCACTTTATCAGGACATTAACAAAGAAGTATACAAGTTCTTGGAGACAGCTGGAGCAAAATATGGAGTTGGTTTCTGGAAACCAGGCTCTGGTATTATCCATCAAATTATCCTGGAGAACTATGCATTCCCTGGTTTACTCATGATCGGCACTGACTCACACACACCCAACGGTGGAGGTCTTGGTGGACTTTGCATCGGTAATTATTTTATAATTATATGTTTATTTAATTCAATAGACTCTACATATTTTTTACTCACGAGATGGTGATAGGCATGTTTTGTATTCAAACATGCTCATTACTCAGCAATATCTGACAAATTCCTTTGAGTAACCCAGATTTACAAATACATTTTCTATATGAAATTATATTAAAAATTCATTAAGTGCAGTGCTAGTTATGTAAAACAGCCATCTCTTGTAGACATGTATATGTAGAGGGATGTATTTATACAGAAGTCGATTGCTTGGGTACCTCTGTCCCATTCGTGTTTCTACCGTGAAGCAATTGTGTTTGCACGGCTGTGTTTCAGTTTGAAGGGTGGGATATGGCGTGAATTTACTGGGTACAGAGGAATACCACCTGAGTCCTCAGGAATGGCAACGCATGGAGGGTATCATAGGCGAAACAGTATACTCTGTTATGTCCATGGTACTGCTCATGTCTATAGGCGACGGTTATCGCTTTCCATCAGGTGGACAGTTAGCTTGTTTGCCATTCTAAGTAGAATAAAAAAAAAAAGATTCGCCTTCTATTGTCTGTTAAAAAATACTCTTCAAAACGTTCATAGATCGAGTGTTATATAATACATTCAATATAACGTAAACAGACAATATAAATTAGGATTGTATTAAAAAAAAAAACAGGTTTCTATTATGGCATAACCAGTTATTTTAATTTAAAAACAAAACCACTGAACCGACTTTGATAAAATTTTTATCGGACCAGTCTATAATTATATCCTATCAGATATAAAAATAATTTTCCAAATGGGTTTATAATTGACTGAGTTATGAGGTAACAAACATTGTCGGTTGGAAATACCTCTGACTACCTAAATACCCCTGATATTGCAGGCGTTATAACGGCTACGGTAACCGTTTACCATCAGGTGGACCGTATGCTTACCACTTCAGTGGTATAAAAAATACCTTAAACAAAAATAAGGTCTTTGATTTTTAAACATAGACAATGCACCCATTGTCTATGTTTAAAAATTATAAAAAAAAAAAACATTGTAAAATTGATGATAACAATGATGCACAGGTGTCGGTGGCGCTGACGCGGTCGACGTGATGGCCGATATCCCGTGGGAACTTAAGTGCCCAAAGGTCATCGGTGTCAAGCTGACTGGTAAGTTTTTATATATATATATATATATATATTTTTAATGTAAAGATCTATTTCGTAAAAATAATTTATAAGATAGATTATTGTCTATATTATTTACTAGCGATCCAACCCGGCTTCACACGAGTAAATATCATTTTCTTATGTTATATTTAAGTCTACGGTTACTTGCTAATAATATAGTTTTCTATAGATAAAAGAATTTTTAAAATCAGTTGAATAGTTTTTAAGTTTATTCATAACAAACAAACAAATAATCAAATCTTTATAATATTAGGGTAAATAGATATCTAATATAATAACATCTAAATTGAATTTTAATCTATAATATAAAAATGAATCGCTGAATGTGTTGCTAAGCGCAAATCTCGAGAACAGCTGGACCGATTTCGAACGTATTTGAATGAAACTTTCCGTACGGATAGGTCCTAACTTAGCTCATAGGATAATACTTTATGTACGGATTCATGCGGGCAGAACCGCAGGATTCGGCTAATTACAAGTGAAACAAGAGAATAAAAACAAAAACTTCGAAAGCGGCGCAACGAATTACTTGTTGTTTTCCATTATTATTGTTTCCCCTATGTCCGTTTTGTTTACGTATTGTTGCTACAAGATTCCAATCAAACGTTTGGCATTTTGCCAACTTAAAAAACTGCGCTTTTGCATTAGTTGCCACGTGCGATATTCGCTATTCTACCATTGGCAAAGTGCCTCTCAGTCGTAAAAGCAATTAGTGAAAAAAAAAAACGTGTCAAATGCGTTTAAAATTCATTGAGTACAGTCGAACCGAGGGGGAAAAAATTAATACTAATGGGATCTAAACAGCCCTACAGCTATTTATTTACCCTATCAGGTCGACCTCCACGCGGTTCCCAAAAGAAACCATCTTGTTTAATCCTTTATGAATTGGTTACTATGGACCAACCAACCTGTATCATCCCTCCTCCAAAATTTGCTGTTAGCGATCGGTCTATAAGTATATTTTTATCCAACATATTGCATAGTATCTAATATAGATCCATGCCTATAGTACACACGTGGGTCGTGATAATGGCCGTGGGCCAACTGACGCCATTCTACGTTACATTTTATATCTTAGCATTCCGAATGCTGATCGGCTGTACAATAACAAGATGAAATACCCAACGGTTGCTGCTGTTAGTACTACCACCATACCGTTGGATAATTTGTTACTCTAAATTGTATCATACAACACACGACATAAAATCTAAATTTGAATGGCAAGTTATTAGCTGTGTTGCAGAAATCATCCCTTTTAAGTTTTGCGATCGTTACCTCGACTACATACAATATAGGTCATAAATTCGGTCGACATTTTTTGAAAATACATAATCGTGTTTTATAATTGGCGGAGCAAAATGTAATTGTTTATATTCCTTTATCGTTTCACATTGTTACGACACGACATCGTAACCTTAAAAAAATTAGTATATTGTATTTTAAAAGGCCTGCGTACACGTGCAATTCCTCCTCGGTGTTGCGGATGCTTATGGTCGGCGGTAGTCACTTACCATTATTGTTGTAAATTACTATGGTTATAAAAAACATCCGAATCCATAGCCATAATTAAATTTCTGCTCAGTTCGCCTGGCCTACTTACTATCTACAATGTTCTATGTCTTTCGCAATCGGTACATAGTCCACTCGTGTGTGTAGCCTTGACTCTGGCTAGACTCGCGACGAAATCAAATCTAAATATAACCGTTAATATATATATTCCACATCTATTTATTTGTGGAATACACTGTCTGATCTGTACAAATAAACAAATATGATACTTCCCGATACTATTTTTAGGATTACGTAGGCAAAAGAATCGATAAGTGCGAGTAAGCATATAATAATACGTACTTTTTTTAATGGGTGAAAATGAAATGGTAACCCCGCCTGCGATATCGGTATACGCTTGACGGGGCACCAGTGAGAGGTGATAGGTGAGGGTGAAAGCAGGTCAGTTAGCCCATTGTGAAGAATTCTGTGAGATTTAACCACGAAGGTTTCAAGGGGAAACCGCGTAGAGGTCGACCTGATAGGGTACATTGTTAGCAATGGAACTGGTAGAATTCATTACTAACAATCCCTTTCCCCTCTGAATAACACGTACTTTATTTTTTTTTTCAAAGTAGCCAATGAAATGTGGTTGTACCATTCATTGGCTACTGAATGGAAATTAAGATCGACTTTCCAGAACACAATTATCACATTTTTACACATATTTAAGCCCCTAAAATAAATTCAAACAAAGTGAAATTTCCTTCACAATATCAACTTGATAAGAGTGGATTTGATAACGTTGTCATGACTAGTCATTATTATAAATCACCTGCACCGTTATCAGGCGTACCGAACTAGAAATATCGAAGGACGTAGATATGTAAGAGATAGCAGACGCGTTATCTCTGGTATATGTTATTATATTTCTTTCACGTCTTGGATAAGATCAATCTCAGCCCATAAAATGACACACCTTTGACTTCATCAGAATTGTGACGTCATAAAAATGGTGTGTGGCACTGAAGAATGACTGTATTTATTATTATTATATCAGCTGTTAATTGCCCACTGCTGGACATAGGTTTCTCCCATAAGGCGGATTCTACCAGTAGTTACTGCGCTTGGTAGGCGAGTTGACAACCGCAGTTTTTTTTTTATGGATGATAATGAAATAGTAACCCCACCCGCGCTATCGGTATGCACCGGCGGGCACCAGTGAAGGATGATAGATGAGGATGAAGCAGGTTAATTAGCCCATTGTGACGAATTCAACAAGAATTGTTCATGATGGTTTCCAGGGGGAACCACGTGGAGGTCGACCTGATGGGGCATATTGGTAGCAATGGGGCTGTCAAACTCCATTGCTAACAATCCCTTTCCCCCGTGACAACCGCAGTTAGGCTTTGGTTATGTTTTAAGAGGGACGCTACTACCCATTACGTTCCCTTAGTCGCCTCTGACTAGACCCACGGGAAAAGGACGGGGTGGCCCATTCTATGCCGAGACCACACGGCAATCATAATGACTATTTTATAACCCATACTGTTCCATTACCCCCTCTTTCCCACCTTCCTCCTCCCTTTATTTTACAATGAAAATTCACTACAAAGATTTTTTTTTTTCACATTTCTCTAAAATTAGTATAAATGTGCCAAATGTAACCGGTCTAAGTAGCTAACTTGGAATACAATTTAACCGGATTACTTGCCCTAAGAAACCGGTTGCTTCGAATAAAATTTGTTTGTCATGCAACACTGAGTGGAACCCACCTATATATAAATTATTAAATAACAGATGCAAGCATGTTATGGATTTATTGAGATTTAGAGATACTCTCTGTCTACCCCGCAAGAGACCTGGTGTTAAGATGTTAGTTAAAAGTAATATATGGTGCATTTCAAACTAAAAACTTGATATTTATATACATACATTTACCGTACATAGAATGGGCCACCCCTTCCTGTCCCGTAGGTGTGGTGGTACAAGTACAAGAGGTACAAGAGGTGGCTAGAGGAATTTAATGGTCGAAGGATGGGCTGTAACGTCCCTCTTAAGACATCACCAAAAGCCTAACTGCGGTTGCCAAACATGGCAACTACTGGCAACCCCAATTATGCGGGAGGTCTATGTTCAGCAGTGGACAGGCTGATATGATAATGATGAAGATAATGGCTATGTGATCCCGCCATAGAATAAGCCACCCCTTCCTTTCCCGTTGGTGTCGTAAAAGACGATTAAGGGACGGCGAGGAACAGGCAGCAGTATCCCTCTTAAAACATCTCTAATGCCTGACTGCGGTTGCCAACTCGCCTGCCAAGCGTGACAACTACTGACAAAACCTACTTTATGTGGGAGGCCTATGTTCAACAGTGGATGGTTAAGGGCCGATATGATGATGATAATGAAGTTGGTGATGATACATACATTATTACATGTTAGGTATGTTTATACATAATGACTAAAATTACGTAATAGACGTACTCCACCGTCGTCATTTCACTAAGAGCACATTGACCTTGCGCGACCCTGACATTGCAGAATGTAGTGAACTATTTTGTGTATGAAACGCTAGACGTCATTAAAACTTCATGTAAACTTCTCAAGGATAGTTTACATGGAGATTCATAATTTCATATCTTTTTTTTTCTCATTTTCGAACCAGTAGGTACACCAAGCCTCCTGCTTTTTACTAGTCTAGGTGTAGTATCGCTATCATTTCTAACTCGAATGATTAAAACGTATATGATATGCGCAGACGCAATGCATACGTATCATGTGTTGTATGAGAACATAACTGGCGTCTATTCTAATAAGTACAATCACGAACATTATGGATGTAACATATTGCATTGAAAAACTGAAATGGAGAACGAATGGTCGTATGATGAGGAAGAAAAAGGATAAATAGACTAAGGATGTAACTGAGTGGTATCCAAAAGAAAGAGAGATAGTATCGTGGGAGGATGGCATAAAAAACATAGTGGACGTTACATGCAGAAAGAAGACGCGAGATCACATTTGTGGCAAGCTTTAGGGGAGGTCTATGCTAGGAAGCAAGACAATCTTCGTGACAATGGTGTTTCAATTTAGAAAAAATATAGCTTTTTTATGCAACTTTAAATGGCAAACAAGCTGACAACCCACCTGATAGAAAGTGGTAACCGTCGCCTGTAGACATGAGCAGTACTACGGATATAACAGAGTACACTGTTTCGCGCATGATACTCTCCATGCGTTGCCATTCCTGAGGACTCAGGTGTTATTCCTATGTACCCTGTAAATTCACTGCCATATCCCACCCTTAAAACTGAAACACAGCCATGCAAACACAACTACTTCACGGTAGAAACACGAGTGGGACAGAGGTACCCAAGCAAATGACTTTTGTACAAAGTGTCCCTCTGGTAAAAGAATAGTATTGTAGTAGTATTGTTTATAATTACTGCTCTCCATCCAAAGGTTGCCTGGAAGAGATCGCTTTTAGC